TTTAGCCTCAGGAGTCATACACAATCACTTTTGCCATATTCCAGTGGTCAGATAAACCAGTCTGTATCTAATATGAGAGGGAATCCCACAAAGGAGTAAATTCAGGAGGTAAGAACCATTACAGGCCATCTTGAAGACTGGCTAACACAGATGTCTAATAATCATTTCAAATCTAAATGTATAGGTACATCCTCCCAATCTTCCTTCCCAAATCTGTATCTCCCAGAGTCTTCTCTATCTCAAGTAATGTCAAAGTTTCCTTCCAGCTGTTTGGGCCAAAACATTTGGAGAAATCTTTGCCTCTCTCAGATCCCATCTTATCTGGTCAGGGTGTTGGCTAATTCTATCAACTCTGCCTTCAAAATACGTCTGGATTCTGACTATTTTCCAGCCTAGTCCAAGTCACCACAATTACAATAACATCCTAGTAACTGCTTCCTTACCAGCTCCCCCCAGTCTGTTTTCAAAACTTTTAGAAGAACAGTTAAATTAAAATGTAAATTAAACTGTGTTGTGTGTGTGTCTGTGTGCGTCTGTGTCTGCGTGTGCTCAGTCATGTCCAACTCTTTGCAACCCAATGAACTGTAGCCCACAAGGGGTCCTCCATCCATGGAATTTTCCAGGCGATAATACTGGAGCAGGTTGCCATTTCCTACTCCAGGGGATCTTCCTGACCCAGAGGTAGAACCTGCATTTTCCGCATTGTCAAAACAGGTTCTTTATCACTGAGTCACCTGGGAAGCCTGTGTCACAATCATACAAAGAAAGAAAGGCAAAGCCCTTAGAGGGGTTTACGAGGCCCTACATTGCCTGATCCCCATCTTCTCTCTGACCTTATCTCTTCTTAATACTCTCCTCCTTGCTCACTCAACTTAGAGCGCTAGTTGGTTAGTTTTAATCACACGGTCATGTCGACTCTTGGGACTCCTGGAGTCTACCCCACCAGGCTCCTCTGCCATGGAGTTCTCCCAGTAAGAATACTCGGTGGGTTGTCAATCCCTCCTCCAGGGGAGCTTCTTGACCCAGGGGTCAAACCTGGGTCTCCTGCATTGCAGGCAGATTCTTTGCCATCTGAGCCCCCAGGGGAGCACTTATGTTCAGAGAAAATGTCACTTGACTTTCAAATTCAGGCCTCTGCACTTTCACTTTCCCCCACAGGATATGCTCTGCCCCCAGATTTCTTCAGTGGCTCCTTCCCCCTTCTAACTCAGTGATTTCTTCTGTGGCCACCACCCTATTAAAAACTGTAATGCCTAAAAAGAAGTATACTCTACACCCCTTCCTGCTTTATCTTCCTTTTCAGCATTTAGCACTGTCTCTTATATCTTTGGAGAAGGCAATGGCCACCCACTCCAGTATTCTTGCCTGGAGAATCCCATGGCCAGAGGAGCCAGGTGGGCTACAGTCCATGGGGTTGCAAAGAGTCAGACATGACTGAGCTACTAACACACTCATTATATCTTTTATTATCTGTCGTATCATTTATCTTGCTTATTATCTCTTTCCAGCTGGAATATATACTCCACTATGAATTATTCACTCGGTCTAGAAGAATATCAGGCATACTATAGAAAAGCAAAATATATTTGTTTAATGAGTGAAGAAATTGTGCCAGGCCCAGCTATAGGCAAAAATCTGACACATCATTGAGTCTACAATATAGTGAAGGCACATATTATTGATTCTTATCAATGGTATCTTTAAAATTTACTCCAGATTAACAAATAATCACAAATATATAAAAGAAATTATTAAATGTGCTTAAAGTCATAAAGAAAATGAAAATATACTAAGGGGAATCAAAAAAAATTTCTCTGAGGAAGTAACATTTGTACTGAGAGTTGAAAGATGAATACGAATTACATAGATAAGGAGTAGTGGTTTGCGATCAGGGGAAAGGGCAGGGTGACAAGGAAGTAAGTGAAATGGGAAGGAATCTTGACAGAAAAAAATCACAGAAAGAAATCTGAGGCTCACAGGAGGCGAGAAAAGATACTGTCCCTGGAGCCAAGAGAGAAATATCACAGACTTAAGGAGACTAAAGAAACTGTTGTAGCCACTTGTTCCAGGAAACAAACTCACTCAGAAGGACAATGCAGATAGTGGAGTGCAGTTTATTACACCGGCAGCCCCAAGGCAGAGTCTCCTTTTAGCCAAAGACCCTGACCAGCATTTGTGAAAATCTTTTATAGCCCATGTGTATGTGTCCAAACCCACCACCCCCAATTCTTTGAGACTTACATAAACAAAGGAAGGGTAAATACAGTCCCAATAGCCCCATCATTCATGTGCCATGTGCTTAGACAGTTAAACAATTAGCCAATAATCAATAAGCCCGAGGTTACACTCCAATAGGTACAGAAAATTTATGGCCTGTCTGGAGGAAGGGGTGATTAGTGTATGTGGTCTCTCAGGTGAGGAGTAACCTGGATACGCTCTTCAAGGTTCCCCTGTCTGGAGGGGGTCTTATCCTTCTGTTGTTTCCACAGGCACTAAACACAGAGTTCAGAGTTCACTGGCGAGGTGGCCGAACCCGATCAGCATGGACAGGCCTGAGATGGAGTCCAGGTCCTATGAATTCCTTCTTCATAACAAGACAACTAAATTCAACATGTAATCAGGATTTGATCTGAGTTGGGAAAAAATTGTTACTATGATGGACAGCATTGGGACAATAAGCAGATCTTGTACATTAAATAATAATATTCTGTCAACTTTAATTTCCTGAATTTGATAATTGTACTGGGACTAAACTGCAATGCAGGAGACCCCAGTTTGATTCCTGGGTTGGATCTGTTGGAGAAGAGATAGGGGGTACCCACTCCAGTATTCTTGGGCTTCCCTTGTGGCTAAGTTAGTAAAGAATCTGCCTGCTATGTGGGAGACCTAGGTTTGATCCCTGGGTTGGGAAGATCCCCTGGAGAAGGGAAAGGCTACCGACTCCAGTATTCTGGCCTGGAGAATTCCATGGACTGTATAGTCCATGGAGTTGCAAACAGTCAGACATGACTGAGCAACTTTCACCTCAGTAGGACTAAATAATAGAATGTCCTTGTTTCTGGGCTTGAAGAGTCATGATATGTATAATCTACTCTTAACAAGTTCAACAAAAGAAAATAATAACAGGAATATAATATGCATGCTATATGTACTATATTTAAACAAAGATAAAGAAAATGTGAGAAAATGTTAATAATGGATGAATTTAAGTGAAGAAAATATGGGATTTCTTGCAACTTTCCTAAGGATCTAAAAATAATGGATGAATCTAGGTGAAGAATATATGAGATTTCTTGCAACTTTTCTAAGTATCTAAATTTTTTTTTTTCAAAATAAAAATTTTAATTAAAAATTTAATTCTGGTTTAAATATCAGAAAGTCAATCTCAGCATTATGATGGCATCCAGTGGTAAAAACATATTATTTGGCAATACTGAGAAAACTACCAGTAGAGTTTTTTTTAAAAAAAAGAGAAAGTAAATTGTGAAGAGGATCTATATATCTTTCACAAAATACTTTAAAAGTAAACACAATAGGGCTATCACTGATATAATCCTGAAAAAATGTGATTGATCAAATGGTGGAAGGAGAAATCACATAGAACAGGCTTTGAACTTGTTGTTAGAAGAAATGAATTCTACTCTTCTATCAATATTTACTGGTCTTTCCTGATGGCTCTGTGATAAAGAATCCGCCTGCCAATGCAGGAGACACAGGAGATGTGAGTTCGATCCCTCGGTTGGGAAGATCCCCTAGAGGGGGGAAATGGCAGCCCACTCCAGTATTCCTGCCTGAAAAATCTCAAGGATAGAGGAGCCTGACAGGCTACAGTCTATGGTGTTACAAAGAGTCAGACACAACTGAGCAATGACCAACCAATACTTACCAGCTATATATCCTTGAGTAATAAAACGCTTTAAGATATAGTTCACTTGTTTATTAATTTTGGATACCACTTCTCAACATAGTTGGGAAGATCAAATGAAATAAAAGTGTGTGTTAATTCACCACGTAGTATTAAGAGTACTATATAAGTGTAACCTAATTTAAAAAAAAAACACAAAACTATAACTATCTTCCCTTATTGCCCATAAATTTTTTTCATATAGTCTATATAATAGGTTTTCAGCCTGTATTTTCTTCCACATCAACTCTGAAGCAGGTTCAAAACCTCTTCTTTCCCTCCGAAAGAATTCTAGTGCAGTGAGAAGGCCCACAGTAGTGAATATTTTGAGGGGAACCGAGGGGTTTCATACCACACAACGGAAAGCATACCACAGCCAGCAACCTTCTGTCCAAAGGCTTCCTCTCTCTAGTCCTTCTTACTGGATCAGTGTGGGCGGGTCACTCTTTATTTGGCTGTGCCCCTTGTAGGTGCAGATTGTGGACTCTTAGGTGCAACATGTGGGATCAGTTCCCTGACCAGGGATGGAACCCAGGCCCCCTAAGTTGGAAGTATGGAGTCTTAGCCCCTAGCCCACCAGGAAAGTCCCTAGGCTGGTCATTCTTTGTCTCTGGCTTCTCCCTGACAACCTCCTCCTCCTTCATTCCTTCCTGTACAAAGAACAGTTTAATCCTCCCAAGCATTTATTTCCTTAAGGGACCCTCCAGTACCAGCATTCTCCCCACCTCTAAAGGCAGCAGAGAATTTTTGTTTTAAGCGTTTTTTATTTGCATACATAAATGATGGAATGCTGATCTGCCCTTGTGCCAAAGCCAAGACAGACCCCTAGGACGGGTATAAGTCTGCAGCCAGAAAGGCGCTATCTTCCGGGCCCCACTCCAGCGCGCGCAGGGGCTAGAAGCCCACTACGTCCCATCCAATGGGGCATTTCCCGCCCGCGGACACCGCGCGCCGGAAGCTGCCGCGCGGAACCGGAAGCGGGCGTGGAACCGGAAGTGGTCAGACGCGACCCCCTCTGGAAAGACAGAACGCCCTTAGCTCCGCCCCGCTCCTTGCGGTGGAAGAGGTGAAAGGTCAGCCCTGTGAGTTATACAACATGGCGCTAGCCGTGCGCCTCCGGCGCCTACTCCTTGTGGGACGTAGCGCCGCCCGGGGACTTCGACTTCCGGCAGGTGCTGCCGGCAGCCGGGGGCAGCGTGTTCCTTGGCGACTCGCCGCCTCTGAGGTACCTTCGCTGTCCCGGCTCTCCCGCTTTCCTCCCCCAACGACCGTTCTCCGGCGGCGCCTTCCTTCTTGAGGCCCGGGGGCCCCGCGTCGCCTTAGGGTGTGTGGGGAGCTGAGGAATGACCTCGGGGCCGTGCACCTGGAGCATTCCCGTTACCGCGAGGGATGTAGGCCCTGCCCCTTTGCGCAAGCCTGCTTTCCCCTCTGAAAACCTGGCTCGGAGGAGGAGCGAGGGCCCCGGGGAACCTGCTCGAGCCTGTCTCTCCTGTGTGAATACCTGGGGGACCGTGGGGAGAAAGCCCTTGACCGCCGTGAGGTGCTTTTGCCTTTCAGTGATGGCCCGATACGGTGACAGCACCTGAGGCTGTCAGTCTGTCGGACCTGGGAAAGCTTGAGGTGTCATCCTGAAAATTCCTGCGAGTCAGACTTTCGTGCTGCTGCTGCTAAGTCGCTGCAGTCGTGTCAGACTCTGTGCGACCCCATAGACGGCAGCCCACCAGGCTCCCCCGTCCCTGGGATTCTCCAGGCAAGAACACTGGAGTGGGCTGCCATTTCCTTCTCCAATGCATGAAAGTGAAAAGTGAAAGTGAAGTCGCTCTGTCGTGTCTGCCTCTTAGCAACCCCATGGACTGCGGCCTACCAGGCTCCTCTGTCCATGGGATTTTCCAGGCAAGAGTACTGGAGTGGGGTGCCATTGCCTTCTCCGGACTTTTGTGCTATTTAGGTTTAAAAATTATTTTCGAGTTTCTTGCTTCATATGCCTAATGTTAAGGAAGGATGTTGGGATGGATTGTCATCCCAGTTTTGGCATTTCTGTAAGACTGATTGGTCTTGGTTTGTGTAATCTCTGAAACAGGGTGGAAGGGTGAGGGTGCGCTTTGGGTATGTATCCTTTGAACTAGAGGCTTCATTATTTTTGACTGCCTGCTTTGTTAAGAGTTCTGGGGTGAGGGAGGGATGAATGACAGTAAGGATGGATCCCTTTCCTTGGAAGAGCTTATAGCCAAATGGGTTGATGTTTCATGATGTGGGCAGAGGAATGGAAGGAGTATTAAGTATGACATAAGCCTCAAGTTTCCAGATGAGTGCTGTGGTGAGTTAAAAATTCCATTTTAGTGAAATGATCATTGTTTAGATAGTAATAGTTAACATTTGTTGAACCATTACTATAACCAGGCATTATATGTTAAACATTAACCTGATTTGTTTACTGAAATGTTTCCCTGCACCCTATGAATTAGGAACTGCTTATGTCATATCTTTTTGATAATAACCATTCTAACAGGTGTGAGGTGAGATTTCATTATGGTTTTAATCTGCTTCCGCCCGGTGATTAGTGATGTCGAGTACCTTTTCATGTGCCTGTTGGCTGTGTGTAAATCTTTGGAAAAATGTCTCTTCAGATCCTCTGCTGTTTTCTTTTTTTTTTTTTAATGGATGATTTTTTGTTTTGTTTTGCTGTTGCATTGTATGAGTTCTTAATATAATATTTTTAGTTACTAACCCCTTATCAGGTATATGATTTGCAAATTTTTTTTTCCCTTTCACTAAGTTGCCTTTTCATTTTGTTCATTGTTTGCTTTGCTGTGCAGAAGTTTTTTTAGCTTGATGAAATCCCACTTTTTTTTTTTTTTGCTTTTGTTGTCTTTGTTTTTGGTGTCAAATTCAAAGTCATAGCCAAAATCAGTGTCATGGAGCTTATCTTTATATTTCTTTCTAGGAGTTTCATGGTTTCACGTCTTAAAATGAAGTCTTTAATTCATTTTGAGCTTTTTTCTGTGTATGGAGTAAGGTAGTGGTCCAGTTTCATTCTTTTGCATGTGGTTGTCCAGTTTTCCCAACACCATGGAGACTGTCCTTTCCCCATTATATATTCTTGACAGTAATTAACTGTTAACATAGGCATGGGGTTATTTCCAGGCTCTCAATTCTGTTTCATTGATCTGTCTGTTTTTTATGTGCATACCATAGTAGTTTGATCACTAATTTAGTTTGAAATCAGGGAGCATGATGCCTTCGGTTTGCCCTTTTTTCCTCTAGATTGTTTTGGCTATTTGGGGTCTTTTATAATTCCATACAAACTTTAGGGTTGTTTGTTCTATTTCTGTGAAAAACACCATTGGAATTTTGATTGGGGTTTTATTAAACCTGCAGATTGCTTTGGGTGGTATGGGCCTTTTAATGATATTAATTCCTCTAACCCATGAACATGGATTGTCTTTCCATTGTGCTGTCTTCAGTTTCTTTAATCAGTGTCTTAGAGTTTTCAGTGTACAGGTTTTTCACCTGCTTGGTTAAATTTATTCCTAGGTATTATTCTCTTTGGCGTAACCATAAATGGGATTGTTTTCTTAATTTCTCTTTTCGATAGTTTGTTATTAGTATATAAAAACAGCATATTCTTGTATATTGATTTTGTATGCTATGACTTTACTGAATTATATGTTATTTCTAATAGTTTTTTGGTGGAGTCTTTAGGGTTTTCTGTGTGTACTATCATGTCATCTGCAGATACTGACAGTTTTACTTCTTCTTTTTTTTTTTCTTGCCTTATTTTTCTGGCTGGAATGTTCAATACTGTACTGAATAAAAGTGGCAAGAGAGGGTATCCTTGTCTTGTTTCTCATGTTAGAGGAAAAACTTCTGACTTTTTTACTATTCGCTGTAATGTTAGCTATAAACTTGTCATTTATGGCTTTTATTGTGTTGAAGTACATTCCCTCTGTGCCCACTTTGTTCAGAATTTTATCTTAAATGTTGAATTTTGTCAAATGCTTTTTCTTCATCTATTGATGATCATATGAGTTTTGGCATTCATTTTGGTAATGTGGTATATCAGATTGATTTGCAGATGTTACCTTTCTTGTATCCTTAAAATAAATCCAACTTGATCTTGGCTTATGATTCTTTAAAATATTGTTGAATTTCATTTCCTAATTTTGTTGAAGATTCTTGCATCTGTGTTCATCAGGAATATTGGCTTGTACTTTTTTTTTTCTTTTAATGTTCTTGTCTGCCTTTGGTATTATGGTAATGCTAGCCTCATAAAAAGTTTGACAGTTTTTCCTCTTTTACTTTTGAAAGAGTTTGAGAAGGATTGGTATTCATTTCTTAAATGTTTGATAGAATGCACCAGTGAATCCATCTAGTCCTAGGCTATTCTTTTTGAGAGGCTTTTGATTACTGACTCAATTGCCTTAAATGGTCTGTTCAAAAAAAATTTTTTTTTTATGATACAGTCTTAGTAAGTTGTTTGCTAGTAGGAATTGATTTATTTCTTCTAGATTGTTCAAATTGTTGGTGTGTAATTTTTCATAGTAATCTCTTATGGCACATTGTACTTCTGTGGTATCGGTTGTGGTGTCTCCTCATTCATTTATAATTTTATTTATTTGAGTCATCTCTCTTTTACTTGGTGAATCTAGATAAATGTATGTCTATTTTGTGTACCTTAAAAAAAAACCCCAAACCCATGTCTTTAGTTTATTGATCTTTTCTATTGTCTTGTTAATCTATTTCATTTGCTTGCCCTTGGATCTTAGTTTATTTTCTTCCATGAATTTTTGGTTTAGTTTTTTAATGTGGGCATTTATAAAATTTCTCTTGTTTTCTTCTTTGAAGCATTGGTTGTTCATTGGCATAATGTTTCATCCTCACATATATGTGAATTTTCTTCTTTTCTTGTAATTGATTTCCAGATTCATGCCTTTGTACTTAGAAAAAAATGATTGATATGATTTTAATCTTAAAATTATTAAGACTTATTTTGTGACCTAACATTATGATCTCTCCTGGAGAATGTTCCACGTATGCTTGTATGTTGTGTTGCTTTGGGATGGGATGTTTTATATATACCCATTATATTTGTTTGGTTAAACATGCTGTTTAAGTGCAGCATTTCCCTATTGATTTTCTTTCTGGATGATCTATCCAGTGATGAAAGTGGGGATATTGAAGTTTCTTACTATTATTGTACTTGCCATCTATTTCCCTCTTCAGGTTTGTTGATATTTGCTTTATATGTTTAGCTCCTCCTGTGTTGCTTACATAAATATTTACAAATGTTGTATTGTCTTGTTGATTTGAGCCCTTTATTTTTATATAATGACATTCTTTATTTCTTATTACAGTCTTTGTCTTAATGTCTATTTTGGCTGACATAAATATAGCTACCCTAACTTCCTTTTGGTTTCCATTTGCATGGAATATTTCTTCCATTCCTTTATTTTTAATTTTAGTGTGTCCTGAATTATTTAGGCATCATGTAGTTGAGCCTGTTTTGTTTGTTTGTTTTTATCTGTATTTGCCAAAAGTTTTATTTTTATTTTAGGTTGGAAGGATTCATTAACAAAAGAAACCATTCATCACACACACAATAAACAACTTCAGTATTTAATAGAGGATTATTTGACTTAATTTCAGTATACAGTCATTAAAAGAAGAGAAGTAGAAATAATAGAGAAAAGTAACAGCATATGCACCACCATTGGGCCAAACAATGTCCAGACTTAAACAGTGCTGGGAAGTCCCTTGTTAACAGCAGTCTGGAGGTCCAGTTGGGAAAAGCTCCTGGGTGGTGCATCCATCCCATGGGTGAGACTTCAGCTTGCTGCTTTGAGGACTCCTGTTTATAGTCCCAGGCTGATGTTTGCATCAGTTTGCATGCAATAATGCAGCTTTTTTTTTTTTTTTAACTTTTACAGTGCAGGTTTGTTTCACTTTGTGAGTCATAGGGTTTTGTTGGAGCCCAGAGGGTTGGCCAGGCCTCCTTGGATGCAAGAATTCCGAGACCCACTCCCTTTCTTATCTACTCCCTTTCTTATCTAAAGTGCTCCCAACTAGCTGTGCTTGCTGGCAAGCATACAGTCCAGGCAGTGTCCAGGCAGGTCAGAAGCAGGGCAGAGGTCTGCTCTCCTGCTTCTGAAGCCAAAAGTAAAAAAACTCACAAGGTTAAAAAAAATTTTTTTTCCCCTAACAATCACGTCAGCTACTCTCTTTTGA